TTTTTGTTTTTTTTTTTTTAAAGATTTTATTTATTTTGACAGAGAGCGAGACAGCGAGAGAGGGAACACAAGCAGGGGGGAATGGAAGAGGGTGAAGCAGGCTTCCCGCCGAGCAGAGAGCCCGATGTGGGGCTCGATCCCAGGACCCTGGGATCATGACCTGAGCCGAAGGCAGACGCTTAACGACTGAGCCACCCAGGCGCCCCCAAAAGTATTCTATTAAGTAGAACTGAAGAACAGGATAAAAAAAGGATCTTGGGGCACCTGGGTGACTCAGTCTGTTGGGCATCTGCCTTTGGCTCAGGTCATGATCTCTGGGTCCTTGGACTGAGCCCTGCATCGGGTTTCCTGCTCAGCGGGGAATCTACTTCTCTCTCTCTCTCCTTCTGTCCATACCCCACGGCTTATTCTCTCTCTCACACACAAATAAATAAATAAAATCTCTTAAAAAATAGAATAAATACATATAAATTTATCTTTAAAAAGATCTTAATAAGTTTTCAGGATCATTAGTTCTTTTGTCCCCAGTAGGAAAATCCTCAGAATTATAGATTAGCAGGATAGTAAAGAAAGTTAAAGGACTATTTTTTTATTCCAATAAATCTGATTGGTCTGATGATGAATTGCCTTTAACAAGAAGAAGTAAGCTATCCCATTTGAACTCTTCCAGTAAAAGGGAAATCAATATTTCTCATAATATCTGACTTTATCTTCAGATAGTACTATCTTAAACCATTTCAGAAAAATTAGAATCTTTTTTTTTGTTTACTAGCAGTTTTTTTCTTTTGATATAAAAGTTATAATTAAATTGTTAGTAAAATAAAATAGAAAACTACATTTTTAATTTTAAATATCACAGATAATGCTACTCTATTATTTAATGTGCATACAATAAAGTGGGAATTTGGAAAGTCTGAGAGGCATACAGGAATAAAAGGAATAACAAACATAGAATAGCAATGCGCTATGCTTCTAACACTATCTCAAGGAGTATAGGAAGAATGCCAGGATGAAAAACTCACAAGTAAACTAGAGGCCTTATCATACTGTGAGAAGATGCTGTAGATGTAAGTTAGTATTTGAAGTTTATAGAAAAACTACATTTTAAATTTGACTCATTTAATGCAGTGGAGCCCTTCAACCCCAACCCATATACTATCAAGCAATCAATCTATTCATTAATCTAGTAAAAACAGAAGAGGAAAGGAGAAAGGAGAACTAAATAAGAAATAAAATCAATTATGTAAATCAAGAGCATAAATGTGAATGAGCCTAGTTTTTTACTCAAAAGACAAAGAGCTAACACATCTGTGTGTTAACACTATTTTATTTTTTTATTTTTTATTTTTAAAGATTTATTTATTTGGGGGGAAGGGGCAGAGGGAGAGAGAGAATCCTGAGCAAACTCCCTGCTAAGCAAAGACCCCAATGCAGGCTCTATTCCTTGACCCAGAGACCATGACCTGAACCGAAATCAAGAGTCAGACACTTAACTGACTGAGCCACCCAGGCACCCCAACACTATTTTTTTAAGATTGTATCTATTTATTTTGAGATAGAGGGGGAGTGAGAGTGAGAGCGCAAGCTGGGAGATAGAGGGAGAGGGAGAAGCAGGCTCCTCGCTGAGCAGGGAGCCCGATGTAAGGCTCGATCCCAGGACTCTGGGATCAGGACCTGAGCTAAAAGCAGACGCTTAACCAACTGAGCCACTCAGGCGCCCCCAACACTATTTTCTTTAATAAAAAAGTCTAAGTGGAGGGGCGCCTGGGTGGCTCAGATGGTTAAGCGTCTGCCTTCGGCTCAGGTCATGATCCCGGAGTTCCGGGATCGAGTCCCGCATCGGGCTCCCTGCTCGGCGGGGAGTCTGCTTCTCCTCCCTCTGACCCTCCTCCGTCTCCTGCTCTCTGTCTCTCGTTCTCTCTCTCTCAAATAAATAAATAAAATCTTAAAAAAAAAAAAAGTCTAAGTGGATAAAGAGCATAAATAAAAAACTCACAAAAATACTGACAATAAAGAGCTGGGCAAAGATATGCCAGGACAACAGGGTGACATCAATTTCTGACAAATTGGTATACTAAGCAAAAATCATTAAACATGCCAAAGCAACGTGCTTTCTATTGCCTAAGATGTCACGATTCATGAAGAATCCATTATAATGGCAATGCTTTATGCATTGAATAACAAAGCAAAATTGTTAAAGAGCAGGAAAATTTTGAGAAATTATATATATAATATTATATATTTATATTTATTATATATAATATATTTATATATATTTATTATATATATTTATATATAAAATATATAATATAATTATATATTATAATGTATATAATATTATATATTTATATTTATTATATATAATATATTTATATATATTTATATTTATTATATATAATATATTTATATATATTTATTATATATATTTATATATAAAATATATAATAAATATAAAAGTAGTATATTTTAGTGCACCTTTCTCAGGAACTGATTATAGTGAAACTAAAATTAGGTTTTAAAGAATTTGAAAGATAAAATTACCCATCCAGACTGTGAGTGTATATGTGTGTGTATGTACATTTATAGTTAACAAGGAATATACATTTTTTTCAAATGCCAATAGAATATGTTCAAAACTGACTATATATTAGGTCACAAAATCATTTACAGCCACAATTTAATAAAACTATAATAAAAATGAGTAGAAATCAAAAACAAAAATATAAAGCTCTTTACAAGGGGAAAACATTAAAGAGGAAATCAAGACAAAAGTATAAAGAAAAAAATAAAATAGAATGAGATTGATTAAAATTAAAACATATAGTATGTCACCTAGCTGTATAGTATAGTACTCAAAGGAAATCCTAGAGCCCTAATTAACATATTAAAAACTAGAAACAATGAGAATAAGTGTTCTAAGCATTCAACTCAGCATCCAGAAAAAGACCATTAATAAACCAAAAGAAGTCAGGAATAAAGAAATAATAAAAATAAAAGCAGAAGACAATACCAAAGAAAACAAACAAGCATAAACAACAACAAAAGGCAATGAAACTCAAAGCTGGTTTTCAACAAGTTTAAAATAAAATCTGTCCTCAGGGTAAATGTCTTTGTGGGTCAGATCTCTGTATGTCTGGAGGTTGTTCCTGAAGACAAAGCCTAGAACCTAATCCTCTTTCATATCTGTGTCCATTTAATTCAGTGTGTTAACCCTTCCTGCTTGAAAAGACTAGAATGTTTCTGTTTTGTGCACTGAATTCAGATGAATGATATGGCATTTAAACACAAAAGACCTTTAAATATAGCTATCTGACTTTTCAAACTGAAAAGGAAAAATAATTAGTCCATGGCACATTCCTTCTTTTTTTTTTTTTTATTCTTATGTTAATCCCCATACATTACATCATTAGTTCTAGATGAAGTGTTCCATGATTCATTGTT